GATGGAGTTGGCATGTAGCATGAAGGTAAAAGAGCAGAACCAGCTGAACGCCCAGACCCCAAACCCATGTGGGGCTCACAGGGGTGTAGAACCCATGACAAAGCATCTATTGGTGGCTATTTTAGCATTACATTCCCCTCTCACAGCAAAGCTGGATTTCAGATGTGTGACTCACGTGGTCCCCTCTACAGTGGGACTTTGGCTCTTCTCTCCCAGAATCCCTTTCTTCCCTCCGGGTCTTCTCTTTTCCCCTTGACTGGACAACAGAGTGTTCTGGATTGGCTGCGCACTCCAGACAAGATGGATGGAGAGGAGCCGCATGCCTCCAGGTCCTTCCGATCATTAAACATTTAAAGGGAGCTTTGCTGTGAAATACTCAGCAGGTTGAGAGCTGAATCCGTCGCTCAGCCAGCCGCCGGCAGCAAGGGAGGTGCCATCTTGTTAGCCGTTTTCCAAATAATTAAATAGCTGCCATAAAGAGGAGAGAAATGTGCTGGCTTGTGGGCTGATCACTGGCAGGAGAGGAAGAAGCAGTGAGTTTGAGTCTACCATAAAGCAAGGAAACAACCAAGGTTTCCTTTTGGTGGCAATTGGCCTGTCTTCCCTTGCCTCAAGCACAGAAGGGCAGAGCTTGGGAAAGCCTGCTTTTGGCAACTGCGCCTCCTAAAATCCCCTACCCAGCATGGTCAGTGGTCCAGGCAGACCTGGAAAAGACTGCCAGTCAGCGCCAGCAGCATTATTGGGATGGATTGTTGCCCTGTGCCTAGAAGTCATTGCTGACTCATGGAGACTTTAAGGTGACTTAAAGGAGACTTTAAGTCACTGGGTTTTCTTGGCAAGATCTGTTGTACAGAGGGGGCTGGCCTCTGTGTGACTTCTCTAAGGTAATCCAGTAGATTTCCATGGATTCCAACCCTGGTCTCCAGAGTCGTAGTCCAACGCTCAAAACTGCTACGCCACGCTGGTCCTACTTCATTGGGATAAATTAGGTGGGGGAAAATATGGTCTGCAGCCTTCATACAGCCTCTCAACACCATTCTTGTGGCCCTTAAGGGCTCCTCAGCCCACCAGTTTTTTGATATTTAATATTCTTCCTTTTTTAAACCCAAAATGCACCCACACCCCTTGTTTTTGTCATAGTTTTCAACAATTTTGAGTCCAGGAGAGAGGTCTGGGAGTACACAAGGGGGTGTGGATGGGTTTAAAAAATGAGGAAAGTTTGGGTGTTTTGTTTTTTCTTAAATTGAAGGGTTGCATGGTGAGAGGGGAAACCATGCAAGGTCCCACATGGGGCTGACATGCTCCCCCCAACCCCTGGGCTGCATGGAGCAAGACGTAAGGTACCTTTCTCCCTTACTCAGATTCCACACATACATATATAGAGAGAGAGACATACACATTGCAGAGTGGCTGTGCTGCTGGGGGATTCTGGGAGTTGTATTTCAAACCCCCTCCCAACATTTCCAAGCCCTGCTGTCTTGTGTGGAGAGGAAAGGCCAGATCATTCTTGATCGTTCAGGGGTTGAGGGTCTCGGGGGGTGCCATTCGTTCAAGGGCTGTCCCTGGTACTTTGGGTTATACAGGCTGAGCCTCACCCCACTCCACCTTCCTCCATCCTCTGTTTCTCTTTCTCGGATCCAGGCACACCACTGCTGCCTTCCTTCCTTCCCTTGGGAGGCCCTCCT